ATGAGACTATTTCATGGATCAAAGTGTCTTCTCAAATCTAAAGTATTTAATAATAATAATAATACCTAGTGAATAATCGCCTATGCTCAGACTGCAGGGGAGGTGGGAGGACCCCATTTTCGACAAAGCCTGTACTTTCTGCATGTAAATGTCACAAGGAGTATCTCTTCTTGGTCCTTTGTTTTATTTACCTTACCAGGCTATTAATTTCTGACCTATGCATTAGCATTAAAAACTTTTTGCAAGAGTAGTCCAAACCCTAACAGCCGACTTGAGTTATTGGTGTTTAATTACTGTGCTGTAAACAAGTTCATCTCTGACTGCAGCTGTAGCCCATGCAGTTCTGAATGGAAAGAAGGAGTGATAGAAGGTGCAATATCACTGGAGAACGTCCATGAGTTGATTTTAATTGGTAAACAGTCAGTGTATAGTGCTAACCATTTGATCTGTCCACCACAATGGGATCCAAGGAAAGTACATAAAATCACAGAAGCATATAACTCGTGTAGTAAACTCATTTTCTCATGTTATCACAGCTGGCATGTTCAGGTTATGAAGAGCTTTTCAAAGCAGTCATTGTCAAAGAGATCTAATTGTCAGTATGGTCTTTGTACGTTATTCCTGTTAGCACAGCCGTGAAGAGGTATAAGCAGGCACTAAAACCCACACAAACTTCTGTATACAACTTTCTTATTTCATGTCCATAGAAGATCAGTACATAAATGCTCAGAAGATACAAAACCCATTCTTCAGGCCCTGGTTTCCTCATTAGATGCACAGGTCAATTAATCCATAAAGAATAATTTCTTAACATTATAACCTGAGTTAGACTTTTAAAAAGTAGCTGATCATTCATCAGTTCCAGAAAGTTGGGAGGTCTTTTTGTGTGTAGGTAGCCCTACAAATTGGCCTATTCTTGTGGTGTAAATGCTGTCTCAGAACTGGGAAAAATAAGCCTCAGTTCTGCCATTGTTGGATAAGCACAATTCCATTTATTCTGGCTAGACAGTCCTGGGACACTTCTAGAAAGGATTGCACATTATAATGTCTCTCACCCATCCACCACTCAATCCCTCTTGGGGATTTTACCAGCTGAAGGAATAGGATTATCAGAATAAAACATTAAAAAATCAACCTCTTCCCCATGTCATCCTTGAAAAGGGAAAGGAATCTGCTAAAATGAAGGGGTGTGAAATATGTAGACCAGACATGAAGAAGGTTAAGTTAGTATCAGCCTAGTATTAATTATTATTAAAGATTTACTAAAAAATTTGATTTGATATGGAATCCGTCCTAGGCCACACAATCTATAAATACAAATGGCAGCAAATTAAGTGTAATTAGTGGTGCTCATCAGTGTCCAATATTACATGATCTCTCTCTTCCCCTCATAACTGGAAGTCTTCAGGGTTAGTATTACATGTTCTTGTATGTGACCACTCCCCTGCAGTGCTCCTTCCAGCCTCTGCTAGTTACACTGGTAAGACGTGGCACTGCCTCTGGTCTTCCATGGGCTCTGCTTCTCATGTGTGCTGCTGAAACTCTGGAACCTCATGCTGTTGGGTGCACATAATGCACCGGTAGCATCACAAAGCCCGTGTCTTTCATGCTCATTCACGTTCTTAGCTAAGAACTTGAATCCGTGAGTGGGACAAATCTCACCCTGCACTTGGACTCATCTAGACAGCGAAGCCTGTTATCTCAACTTCCCAGGAGGAGCAGTTCTTGACTCGGAAGGGCTCCCGATCTCTCCTGAAAGTAACCACATCTAACTTTTCTCAGACATTTCTGCATCCCAGAGGTGGTGCAGCTCGGACTTCATCTGAGGTCCGGGATTTGTATGTACACATTTGGTCTCCAGACTTTTTCCAGCAGTAGATGATGAAATGTTTCTCCTCAAATATGTGGCTTAATCCCTGAATTCCAATAGTTCAACTCAGGAAATTTCATGGATAACTCTGGCTCCACATTTGCAATCAGGTGACTGGATAATTTTTAAAAATTTCAACTATCTCTGTTTAAAAAGTACTACAAGTAGCAAAAGTTATAATGTGTTTGAATACAAACATGGCTTTTTCGGTATATTGGTCAAAACAACACATTTCTGTACTGTTATTTACCTTCCTGCTGTGTTAGAAAACTGTCATTGGTTATACGCCAGCCTGGAATTCCTGTAAATTCTTTTCATTGCCTGTATACAGGATTATTTTAAGCCCATCACATTTTAATGTTATTGCTGCATTTACAATAGACATCAGTTACCAATTATGATAATGTTTTATTTACTCTCTAGATCAAGAAAAAGCCATTTGGTTAAAATTATCTACTATATCTCAATTATACTGTTATAGGATACTAGCTAATATCTTTCATGATAAAATCTGATAGCAAATTAATAAGTTAATAATCCTGACAATTTGAAGATGAAATAACCCTTTGTTCTCAAATTTAAATACTTTGTATTTTTCGTATGCTTGTGAGCTAGCAATAGAAATGCATGGCAAGTTCTGAGATAATTGCTTTCCGTACTCTAAGCAAAGAATTACACCTGAGTGTAGATAGACAACCTTAGAAAGTAGACAGATATGGATCTTGGCCTGCTATAGTCACGTCCCTATAGTCATATTTAGTTCACTGCAAGCCCTGCTATTTTTCTCCCTATCTATCCCCTTCCAATTTTAGCAAGGATAACAATTATAATAATAGCAAAACAATACTAGGACTTTATATTAACATTTTAGCAAGACCTGGATATTTCCATAAATAAGATTTCTAGGTAACTAAACTTCTTTTATTATTTAACTTTAACTGATATATAAAAATTGTGCATGTTTAGAAGATATCATATGATATTTTGATACATGTTTACCAAATTTTATTAAAGTTAAAAGTGTTTAAATATTTTGATGGAAATATTGACAAAGTTTATACATATTAAATAAAAGTTTTATAAAGCATATGTTATGGTTTGTCTGTGTGTCCCCCCAAAGCCTCAAGTGGCCATGGGGCAGGCTTTTAAAGTTTGATTGATTACGGGTGTGAGAGCTGCACCCGCCCTGGGGTGGATAGTTTGCATATGTAAAGGAGAGAAAAAGGGTGCTTGAGGCCATTCTTCCCCATTCTTCCCTAGTGTGTCCTGGTTGTTGCTTTGCTGAGCTGCAGCTCTCTGCCATGTGCCACTCAGCCTTATAATCTGCCAGGTACAGACTAAAACCTCCACCAACTGTAAGCGAAATAAACTTTTCCTTCCTTAATTTTGGGCGTCAAGTATTTTGTCCCAACAACAACAAAAAAAGTAACCAAGACAGCATATAAAATAACTGTAGTATCATAGTTAATTGTTCTGAGTTCTAGAATACTGATGTTCCTTGGACTTACTTGGTCATTCATTCATTCACTCAGCCATTCATGCAGCCATTCAACAAGTATTCATTGTGTTACTATGTTCCAAGGACCATAAAAGACAGTAGATATAGAACAGTGAACAAAATATACAAAAAGCCCTGCTCTAATGGAGCTCACACTCTAGTTCATTCTCGTTCATATGTGGATGTTTTCCCCAAATTAACGTATTGGGAGTTTTGTCTCTAATGCAACTGTGTTGAAGAGTAGGACATCTAGGAGGTACCTGGGTTATGAGGGCTCTGCCATCGTGAATGGCTTAGTTCATGCCTGGATTAATGGCGTATTGCAAGGGTGGCTTTGTTATAGAGCAGCACCCTCCGGCATGCTTGCTCTATCTTGCCACATTACAACACAGCAGGAAGACACACCCCTGAGGTTGAACCAAAGCCAGTGCTGTGCTCTTGGATTCCTCAGGCTCCAGAACCATGAGCTAAATAAATCTTTACTCCTTGCAAGTTATCCAATTTTGGATATTTTGTTACAGTAACAGAAAACAGATGAAAAGAGTATGCAGACAGGCTCTGACTGTTCTGTCTCCTTCCCCTGACGTCAGCAGTCACCTGCATCACCTCTCCTTCTGGCCTGGGCTTCCACTGTAGATCTTTCCCTAAGCATCTGTCAACCACATCCCTGGATGGAGTTGCTCAAACAAATCACCACATGCCCGCTATTGACGTGCTGCTCCTTACCCCTCTGAGGACTTCTTTTACTCCTACTTTCAGCACATGGGTTCTTGTTTGTTCGCTTTTGTTGTTTACATGACTCGATTTCAATGATTCAGTTAACAAGCTCAAACTCTCTGCTATTTTTTCTAGGAAGATGAATGTATTTATGTGCAAATGAGACAACTGGAAGAATAGCTATCATCAAGTGATATTGTACATTAACATTACAATATGAAACATGATCTTATGCAGACATCAACATTTTGAAAGGGAGGGAAGTAAGTTTCCTTATATTAGATTTTGACCATTGCTAAAACCTACCTGGTCAGTGTACAGGGAGATAAACATGAAATCTGAATTGCATTTAAGGAAATGGGGTGACTAAGATGAAAATGAGTATCTAAGACTCATTCACAGACTCATCAGACATTGGAGCCAGGAGGTCACCCTGAGCAACACAATGGCATGGTGGTTAAGAACAGTTCTGGGGCCAGACGTCTACTGTCCTTACAGTTCGAGTCTGGCCTGGCTATGCAGCATTGGAGTGTCTCAGTTTACTTACCTGTAAAATAGTTTGTACAGTATGTCACAAAGTTATAAAGATTAGGTGAATTAGTGCAGGCAAAGTACCTTATACTGTCTCTGGCTCATGGTAAATGGTAAATGGTAAATGTTAGTTATTATGATCTCAGTCTCTCAATTTTTTTCTGATGTAGTGCTTACCTAATGAATAGGAAGAAATGCTGAGTCATTTAAATGGTGATGAAAGGGCTCCCTCTTCCCCTCTGAATTGCAAAAACCCAAACACAATCTCTCCACCTTTATTCTCCCCACCGCCACGGGCAGGACTACAGAGGGAAGTCAGAACAGGTCAGGCAGCCAGGCCAAGTTTAATTTCATGCACGAATAGTACGGCAACTTCCTCCTTACCTTAAACTTGTCAACTTCAGCTTTTGAGCACGTCGCATGGTATGATAGTACCTGATTCAGAACAAAGGAAAAGAGCTTCAATAACTAAATGTGAGGGCATCTTCTGAAGTTCTTCTGGCTTAAAAATATACTTTGCTCATGTATATCACCTTGATGTAACAGTGGATTTAAAAAAATGACTTCTCGCTTTTTATTAGTATGTATGTTTATAATATATAATACATGCATTCATCATGAGGAATTGATACATATACACATAAGAAGAAATAAAAAGATCCAAAAAAACCCCTAGAGTTCCCAAATGATGTGTATTCCTGGCTTGTGAAATGCTCTGAACATAGGTTTTGTGAGTGTGTGTGTGTGTGTGTGTGTGTGTCCTGTGGCAGATACTGTATGTTACTGATTCACTTTTATTCTCTGCCTATTCTCACATGCCTGCTTTTTTTATATAGCAAAGATTATACTCTATTTGCAGGCCATTTTGTATGAGGATTATATTCCCTTGCCCCATTGGCATCAGCCATAACATGTGACTTGCTTTGGCCAATACAGCATGGAAGAAAATGACAGATGCCATTTTTGAGTAGTATCTTCAAGAATGATCACATGGTTCTTCCATCTGCCTTTTCTACCCATCATGACTTCCTTTCTTTTTCCTTTTTCCTTTGGGAGAGACATTTAAAGCAATTTACAACCTAACATTGTTTACCTTTCATTATCTGTCATAAGAAAAAATATAATGGATTATAAGATCTGTAACAACTTCCTAAAACTTAACTAAAATGCAGTAACATTCATAGGTATATATAAAACAAAAATGATATTAGGTTGTAAATTGCTTTAAATGTTACTTTCTAAGCTTTCCTTCAACTAAGTAATATCTTCTCTCCCATTGTAAATTTTCTTCTCTGACTTTGTTTCTTTTCCCTTGGTTTTTCTCCCTTTTCACTTTGGAAAAACTCCCAGAAAGGCTGTACTGAGGAATATGTTCTCTGAGGTTTGGTTATTAAAAATGAAGTGGTTTTCTTAGGCAGGCACCGTGGCACATGCCTGTAGCTCTAGCAGTCTTGGAGGCTGAGGTGAAGAGATTTTTGTGTTGGAGACCACATGAGAATTTAGCCATTTAGCAAGAGTATGTCTTAAAAAAAGGGGTCGGGATATGGCACTGTTGCTCAATGTGGAGGCCCTGTTCAACCATCAGTACCTCAAAAAAAAGTAATTTTCTATTGGGAAAATGTTAACCGCAACAATATTCTGTGAGGAGGGTTTGTACTCCACAGAATTCTTGGGAAGATTAAATTCAATAGAACATGTTAAATAATTGGCACTTAATCAACTTCTATTTATTATATTAACATTCAATTAAAATTCTACCATATATATTTGGCTTACTATCATATTATGATCTTAGTTGACTCGTAATTAGTAATAAGTATTTCAATTCAAAAATAACTAAATAGATTGTGTTCTTTTGGCTCTGTTTTTTTATGGTTTATCCTAATTTGGCTGTCATCTTATTATTTACAAACTTTTTTTGCAGATTCAACCCAAAACTTATCTTTACCCACAAGACAAAACAACACACCCCCAACAAATTCTAGCTGCAATTCAAAATTTCTGCCACCGGGTGGTCCTTAGCCTAACTTTCGGTATACAAGCCTGAAGTATGTACCTTCTTTGGTTTAAATCAACTTTCCCCAATTTATTTACTTTTAAAAAAATTATTAACTATTTGATTCACTTAAGTAGACAATCATCACAGATTAAAACTTTCTGCTCATTTAAAATTAGTTTCTTTTGTTACTGAAGTATAGGAGTGACTTGTGTATTTTGGATTCAAATTCTGCATCAGATGTGTATCTCAAAAATGTTATTTCTTAATCTGTGGTTTATCTATTCATTTTGGGGGGCTATGTTGCCCAGGCTGATCTCAAACTCCTTGGCTCAAGGTATCCTCCTGCCTCAGCCTTCTGAATAACTAGGACTACAGGTGCACACCACTGTGCTTGGCTATTCTCTTAATGAACAGAAGTTTTAAATTTTGACTTAGCGTATTTGTCAATGTTTTTACAGTTATCATTTCATGTGTCCTTCCTAAGAAATTTTTTGCCTACCCTGACTATATAATTTGGCTGTCATGTTAAGGTCTATGATACATCTGAAATTAGATTTGTTTATAGTATAAGATTAAGATGTAAGGGAATAAATACCTTGGTTATTTTCTGGTGATTCTTAAGTTTTCCCTATTTACCTTAATTTGACAACAATAATAGTAAGGAAGCTTTTGAGTTTAGCATTTGAATCTTCTTGTTCTGAGAGTTCCTGTTCCTTTTACAGGATTCAGTCTAGTAAAGAGAGCAGAAGAGCTGTGGGCTGAAGACTCTTTCAACCATCTTCTACAAAAAGGGTATGCTCCCATGTGGATGAGAAACAAGGGGGAATCCCTAGCTAACAAAGCATATTTTCCTACAGGAGAGAGCCCTTTTGATGAACAACAGTATGAGAAGGTGGTAGCCCTGTGCTCCTCTAAGAATCTTTAGAAAAACCAAAAAAGCCAGAAGAGTAGACTCTTCATTACAAAGATAAGCTTTGAGTCTTGCTAAAGAATATTTTGATTTTCTCCCAAGCAGCTCCTGCTACTTGGTTCTACAGGATTTCCCGCGATGCTTTCAGGAAAGCGGTGGTGTTTTATCACTCCTGTTTACTTAGGTGTTTGCTTTACACACAGAGCACAGTAATGAGAAAGCAATAACATCTGCACCCCTCTCATGTACAATTTAGCCTTTATACAATTCTGACTGGATGAGAATACACAGTGGTGATGTTGTGTAGCTCCTGGCTTTTTGTTGATAAGACTGGGATCGAATGTGATTGCTCCATTAATTTTAACACACGTACACAAATGCACAGTGCTGCTGAAGTCACATAGGTCACATAGGACTCGATCACCTCTGGTCATAGATCAGGCCCCACCACTCCTCCACCTTCACCAGTTTTGGTTCTTCCGCCAACACTCTGCTGAAACAGCTTGCATCAAGGTTTCAAACTTTTGTTGATAAATCTGTAAATACCACATTTAACCTGGGCTCACTGTCACATTTAAACCAGAGGATCACACCTTCCCTTTTTGAAGTCTGTCCTCTGAACTACCAAGATACTGTGCTACTTTGTTTTTTATCCTATTTCTCCGGCTGCTCTTTGTTTCTTTGTTGGCTTCCCCTCCACTGTAGCTGCAGAAGCTTGCTAGGCTCTGTCTCTTCTTCAGCGATGTTTGGTACACCAATATCTTTCTACCATCTCCATGTTCAACTTCCAAATTTAGTTCTAACCTTTCCTTAAGTTTCCAGCTCACATATGGAATGACCTACCTTACAAATTCCTACATGGTTGACACACTGGTACCTTAAATTTAACTTGTCTAGACACACGTGTCAACTTTCCCACACATGGTAAGAGGAATAATGCTCTTCCACCCCACCTGGCAGGATGTCCATGTCAGAATCCCTGAAATCTGTGAATATGTTACATTAGCAAAGGAAAACAAAAGCTGCAGATGGAATTAACATGGCTAATCGATGCACTGTAGCATGGAGTGATTCGTTTGGATTATCAAAGTGGTTTAATGTAGTCACAGGGATCTTTATAAGCAAGAAGGAGGTAGAAGAGTAGAAATTAAGTAAGGTGGTGAGAGAAAGGCTCCATCAACCATTGCTGACTTTGAAGATGAAAGACAGCCTAGCCTGAGCCAAGCAGTGCAGGTAAGCTCTAGATGCCAGAGAAGGCAATGGCACAGATTGTCATGTAGTGCTTAAGGAAGAACAAAGCTTTGTCCACACCTTGATGTTAGCCTTGTAAGGCTCCATTCAGATCTCTGACCTCAGAACTGTAAAATAATACCTCTGTGTTGTTCTAATCTGCTAAAGTTGTGGTGATTTGTTGCAGCAGCACTAGGAAACCAATACACCACACAACCCTGTTTTTTCCTAGCCTCGCCAGACCCGTGGGTGGCATTCTATCCAATCAGCTGTTTAAACCAGTAACCTAGGGATTATCCGTGATTCCTTCCTTCCCTCTTTTCTTTACACCCATCAAGCCCATCAAAAACACATGTCATCTCCATACCTATATTCCGACTTTTCCACCTCCATTGTCACTACCTTGGTTCAGTCCACCACTGCCTGCAGCTGCCTAGAAATAATCCCTCCATTTCTACTCTTCCCCTTCCAATCTCTTGGGGGTACATCAGCCATAGTGATATTTAAAAAGTCAAAATCCAATCATGCCACCCTCAACTCATCACTGAAAACTGATCAGTGGCTTCCCATTGCACTTTTGCTATATATTTTTTAATGCTGTTCACAGATCTGAGGTTAATGAGGTTAAATTGAAATCCCTGACAGGGACCCAGCAGACCCCGTACCATGTGGCTGCTGGGCCCATCTCCAGCTGCACTCAATGCCACTTGTGCTCTCTTCTGCTTACTCCAGTTCTCTTCAACTCCTTTCGGCTCCTCTACATCAAGCTCCTTTCTATCTCAGTGCCTCCTCCACCGCCATCACCCGGTTGGTACTACCTTCTGAAATCAGGCTAAATGTCATGTCTTCAGTGATGTCTTCCCTATCCAGAGAAACCATTTGCCCTTACCATTGTTTTTTGGGGGTTAACAGGCTACCTCTTTCACACTACTCAGCATAACTGGAGTAGGTAGCTTGGTCATTGCTTGCCTCCTTGACTAGACTATACACAGCATGTAGGCCTTCCCTCTTTCCTCACATTGAACCTATGAGACAAATGTGTCACCACCACTCTTAAATTTTGACTTCTCTTACTTCTGTTGTTCACTATTTGGATTCACTCCACTATTGTCTCCTATATGAGGGCTTTCACTTTTGGTCACTGATTTATAGCCTGACCTTGGCAGCACACCTGATACTTAGTTGGTACTCAGTATATTTGACAAGTCTGGGAATAAAAAATAAAATAATCTTAAAAGAATCTCTACTTCCTATATTCTCCTTTGTTTGTTTTATTAGTGACCTGAACTGGTGCCT